CTTTGGTACAAAATCATGACACAGCCATGTAGAACTTCCAGAATTTTACTTATAGAGCTGGAGAAAGTTCTTTCAACAGAAGATTCCAAGAGTCCTAAAAGTATCTTTTTTAAAGGCAAGTAAAGCAGATTAATGAAATACTCTGTTTGAATTTATCTAAAATATTTGCACATTGGCAGCAGGAGATTCCAAGAGTCCTAAAAGGATCTTTTTTAAAGGCAAGTGAAGCAGATTAATGAAATACTGTGTTTGAATTTATCTAAAATATTTGCACATTGCCTGAGTGGAATCTTTCACTAATTCCTTAATTGCTTCAACATTTATATTGATAGTTGCACTGAAATTGGTGTTTTCACACTTCCTTTCCAAAAAGTTACATCACCTGAAAAGAAGTGTTTCCTTTTCATAAATAGTTTCTATGGAACAATGGGTTTCTCCAGATTCATTAATCATACAAATAGGACTCAGTTACAGCTACTTAGACATTCCACGGCTGTATAGTATCCTTACAGATATGATCAGAAATTTCCTGGTTAGTATCCACTTATGGGAGAACATAATCTTAGGTCAAAAGTTAAAAATTTCCCAACCAAAATAACAAAGACCATAGGTGACCAAACAGCAGTTTCATCTCCCTGAAACAAACTTCTTGCTCTGAAGCTTGTTCTCAGCCCATATAAGTGTTGGATTGCAAACCAGACTCCTCATGCCTGTATTTTTTCTACAAAATGGCAGCTCCGGTCTGAGGACTCTGCATCCTTAGCTCTGCTGGATTTACAGCATTTAGAGACATGGTTTAGTAGTGGACAGGTTATGGTTGGACTCGATCTTAAAGGTCTTTTCCAAACAAATTATTCTGTGATTCTGTACTTGAACATGGCCCAGAAATTCTGCTCAGAGAGGATGAAGAAAGTGTAAATACCAGCAAGACCTTTGGGTATGCAGCTTAACAGTCAACCTGTGTATAATGAAAAGTATCAACATTGCTCCAACAAGTCCTAAGAATATTTGTATTCTGCAAAAATCACTAATATTTCACTATTTTTATAAGTTTTATGTGCTTCTGTGTCCTTTGAACATTTTTTAGCTAGATCAATATTTTTTCAGTGTGAAAACATGATGGAAATGAATTTCATTATTTTTCCCAACATTCTTTTATAAATTATTACCCTAAAGACAGATTGCATAATTTGCAGTTGCATTGTAAATACACATTCCCATATTCATGTTCATTAATAAATTCTACTCCTCCTCACTTTTATTTACTTGGAAATTGTGACTATTTGAATAGCAAATCACAAGTATTGATTAAGTAGTATAAATAAGAGGAAATCACCCTATATTACAACTTTATCCTTATATCAATGATTTGAATGCAGTGTACTTTAGAAGGAAGTTCCCAATAAGTCCAGCATCAAAGATTTAATATAACCCAGTGGCTTGGAAGAATAATGGTGTGTGTGTGTACAATATATTGGTATATTAGAATGTTGGGATAAATTGATAATACTTTAAGAAAAGAAGACAAGAAAGAATACCTCTTGCTTGAGATCTTTAAATCAAGATGGGAAGTGGAGGAAGTCCCACATATAATTTGTTCTGAAAGTCTTTAACTCAACAAAGAATTTATTTGGAATGTTTTATAACTGGTGTTCTATAAAAAGTTAGATTTTGAAGCAAATAGAATATGATCATTTGTTCATAAAACTTGGGGGGGGACAGGGTTTAAAGTTTGGACACATCAATATGATTTTAGAAGTCTTACATTCCTAGGAACCTAATGAATTCAGATAAAAATGCAGCATAATTTTTTAAGTTTAGATTCTGAAACAATTGTTCCAGGATGCATTTCCTATAACTGATGAAAAGTATATTCCGAAGGTTGCATGAAAACTTCACAAAAATATGTAAGTGATCCCTGCCTTAACAAGCTTACGTTAAAATTTTCTTAAAATAATTCTTCAAAGATTTCTGTGTATTAGACAGTACACTGCAGAACACACAAAGTGATTAAATCATTGTCTATCACATGAATTCATTAATTTGCTTCCTTCAGTGATGTAAACATATTAATTAGGAAAAAGCCCACACCAGGAGCTGAACCCCTGATCTATATGCAAAGTTTAATAATCATTATACCACAATGATTAGAATGATTATGGGGATACTGTGAAGAATTCATTTGCAGCAACTAAGCCAACAACTTTGCATTTGTTTTGAAAAACAATTATAAAGCTTAATTGGGAGCCATGTAATGATGACAGCAGTTATTTCAGTGATTGATTCCAAAATTAAAGAGAACTGGCAAACTAAATACCAGAATATCCTATATTAGAAAATTGAAAGGTTTAGACAGCATGCACCATACGTAAATCCTGAAATATGGCAAAATCCTGATACTTGTACAGACTACTTCTTCATAAATCAGGCTTATGGGTGGACACTAGCTAATATTTTGCTCATCTCTGAGAGGGAAAAAAAGAGTTACTGAAATACCCCTAAACAACAGCAAAAACTTAGACCAACTAATTCAAAACATTAAAAAAGGGAATAGAGCAGAGGTGTGGAAAGGTCAAAAATCAGCTACAGTTGGTAGGAAGAATTACTGATGATCCACTGTTGCATCTAAATTTCTTCACGTTGATGCATTCATGAAAAAGAAGGCAGTGATTGGCAGATCTGGATAAATTATTTAATGTTACTAGAATTTTTTCACAGAATTCAATTGATTTCCTATTTTAATCACTCATTATGGTTGGACTCAATGATCTTAAAGGTCTTTTCCAACCAAATGATTCTATGATTCATTACTCATCTTTAAAAACAAGTGCCCACTTGAAAGGTCAGGATCCTCACTTCCTCTGTAGGCATTTGTCAAGATTTCCCTTGGAACACAGAACTGCATTTCACAGCACAGCTTGAAAATCTTCCTCTTAAAAAGAACAACCTGTAGAGTCTGACTGTCAAGAGAAACGTCTGTGGGTGACAGAAGTAACGTAGTGTGCTGTATATCCAGGTCAGATCTTCCAGCAACATAGTTACGGTGCAAGTTTGCTTCAATTTGTCAACTGTGGAAACTACCATCACTGTCAGTAAGCTCATCTCTGCAAATAACAAGAAATAGAAATTTTTTAAGCTATTTTTAGACTTCAGATAATTAACAAGGAGACAATTGCTCTGGTTTGGAGGACTACCATGAAGCCTTCTACAAACCCAAAGCAAGCCATTAGCAATCTTTGTGCGGTCTTTGCATCCTACAGAGGGGTGGGCATTGTGCCCACAAAGGTCAACAGAAATGATACGAGCTGAAGAGATGGTTGTGGAACGAAATTAGGGGAAGAAAATAGGTGGTTATGTAGTTTTAGGATTGCAGACAACCTGAAGCATGGCATGAACAATTCCAAAACTTGCAGATATCAGTGACTGAGGCCCTTTATTCTTCCTGTGGACCTCATGTGAACAATGAAAAGAAAAACTTTATGTGACTAATGGCAAAGCCATAAAACTTCCCTTCTTAAAACATGCGATATTTATTTTCTTTGAAATATCAATTTTATTTTGACATTTGTAAATAGCTGTGCAATGTTGCAGATGCAATTCATTTTCTACTTAGTGGACTAACAAGGACAAAGCACATTTTAAAATAGCAACATTCTCATCATCAAATTATCAATCTCAAACTTTCCGTATAAAAATCTGTCTGCTCTCTCTGGAATCCTTCCTGATCTATATCTCCAAATCATTTTTGTAACCAAATTCATGACATCATTTGCAAGGACTGTAAGACACATTCAAGTACCATTTATATTACAAAAAATAAGGTGGCTGAAGTCAAGGCACATACTATACTCCCAACTGGATGGATAACTTAGTTTGTATGAATAAGTTATAATTACTTTTTGTAGACATCTGGATGAACACTGGTGACTAGCATAAAAGCAGTAAAGATTTTTCAAAGAACAGAATTATTGATATCGTTAAGATTGATTTAAGAAGCAGTCTTGTGTGAAAAACAATATAATTTTTTGATATTTAACTACATTTTTATCATTACAGGTATGCTACAGCACACTATTTAAGATAAATATGAATAGGGTCTGTAAATTATAAGCATAATTTGATTTTTTTCCCCTCAAAGGTGGAAGCAAAATGGCACAGATATTGATCTTACCATGAGTTATCACTACAGGTTGGTTGGAGGCAGCTTGGCAATCAATAACCCACATAAAAAACAGGATATTGGAACATACCAGTGTTTGGCCACAAATTCATTTGGAACAATTCTGAGCAGGAAGGCAAAGCTTCAATTTGCATGTAAGTTGGGAAGATCATATTTATTAGAGCATTATTTTCCAATTAATTCTGCACATGAACTGTAATTTATTGGATAATTAAAGTATCATCGATGATTCTGTTCAAAAGGTTTGGCTTACTTCAGCAGTGCTTGTTCTTAAAAAAAGTCTTTCCTAGTACATATTAATAACAAAACCTGACATCTGATGGCTGCTCGCCCTCTGGAAGAAGAGTAACTTTCAGAAAATTGAAAGGTCAAGGAAGACGAGTGCAATGATTTTCACTTAATAAAGGTGTTTCCACTTTTTCAGACAGTGCTTTCTTTGCTATATTGCAGGCGGTTACAACTGGGGGGAAATGCTGCAAAAAGTTAGGCTTGCTGTTTTCTATAGCATTGTGCTCCTAATTGCCACACTGAAGTTTTGTTACATTAACAGAGTAGGAAATGCTCTTTTTCCTTACACAGTGTGCAAAATGGTGAGCTAGGCACTGAAATGTTTCATATTTCAGCTCAATTTGGTATAGCATACGTGCTGTCTTGAGATGTTTTAAAATATATTTCAGGCTTGCTCCCCATTTCACTTCACAACTTCCCAATCTTTTTCACAACATTTATATGCAGTGACCGTGTTCTGTTAATGCCCTGGGGGGGGAGGAGAAACAACAGCAACAACAAAAAACCAACAAACCAGATATTACCTCCATTCCTTTTTCTTCAGTATAAAGGTCTGAGCTGTCTGCTGCTGGGAGAAAGCAATTGTTTTCAAACCTCATTAATAAAACATGTGTCTAAAGCCAACCTTGTGTCGCTATTTCAGACACCAGCAAACATATTAATTATTAATCTTGTTCCATTTCTCATAGCAAATCTCATGTTGCAGGGGTTATACAAAGGAGACGTTAGAGGTCAGGATGGTTCACAGACTCTCTTTTAGTGGAGCTGATCAAACAGTATATCGCTAGTATCGCATTTAATAATGTTTTTACCCTGAATTTCTCAAAGAGCTTTTGCTTCCCGAGAGCTGGTCAAATGGAAACAAAAATTTTGATTCATTATTTTTCCTCTTTTTCTGAAACATCTTTGCAAGCCAGCCTTCTGTAGGGGAAATAATTTCAAGATCTGGAGATGAAAAGACTTTAATGACAGAACAAATCCCATTTTAGAAATAAGCAAAAATAGGTGGCCACTTAAAAACTGTCTATGGAATCAGTAATCCCCTGCGAACCAGGATAGGCCAGGAATAGAGCTGGGAAAAGACCTAAAGAAAAGGAACACCCTCAAAAAAAGGCACAAAGGAGATATAAAAAATAAAAAAGCAGGGAAGAAAGGAAAATCAGGAATATCTGAGAAAGAAAGGAGGCTCTGGTGACTGCTCAGAATATCATATTACTCAATTTCATCTTTTTCTGGAAAATTCTATCCCTGATTCAAGTTCTTGGTAGCACTTTGGTTTCCCATTCACTGCTTTCCCAGTCCATAGGGAATCACATTGGCTTGGTGCACCAGCTCTTGGGGTCCCAAAACAGCTGTTCTAGCCAGTGCTTCTTTGCATAACATTCAATTGCACTTCCTTCCGCTGCTTTTCTATGCTTGCTTTTACCTATTGCCATTTCATAACCATGCAAAGGACCAAAACTAGCTTGGGAAAATTGCCTTTGTTTAACTCTTTGCAAGAAGGGTTTGGTGAAAGCTGAAAGAATGAAAGAAGGGAAAGAAAGCTGATGGGGAAAGCCTCCCTGGTAAGGAAGAGAGAGGAGAAAAGTCCATTCTCAGGATGCTGGTCCGTGTTTGTCTCTACATTCACAAATGCATCCTTGATAGTCCTCAGGGGAATGAAAGATGCTGCAAGGCCCAGAAACGTCTCATCTTCAAGCTCTTATTAGAAATGTGATCCTTTGGAAGTTCTCCCTCGAGAGAAACTGTACACCACGAGGCAGTTTTCTTTATGAAACTGAGTTTACCAAGGGTCTAAACACAGATGTTGCCACAGAGAGCAACGTGGCTCTGCAGAGCCCTCTGGCAACTCTTCCACTCCCAGTGTGGCTGCAGGCCAGGGGTCTGCGCTCAGACATGCAAACCTGAAAGAATCACATGTGGTTTCTGGTCCGCCTGAGGCAAAGCCCATCTCAGTGCAATGCAGCTGAGGACACCTAGCAGCTACAGGACTTCTTGGCCAGAAAATGGACTTTGTTGATGGCAGTAAGTATTTTCAGCTGTCAAAAACCAGTTCTTTAATACTGGTGAAGTTCCCTCCAAAGCACTTAACTCATTAATAGCTTGAAGTGTCATGCCAATATGACAATCGAAATAGGCTAAATATCAAGCAGTTTCTTTCCTTAGGCTTCATACCCACACCAAGACACTTCCCAAAGTTACTGCAGGGAGCAGACCACAGCAAAGTTGTCCACAGCGGCAGACAAACCCACAGCTACCATTCTGCTTCAATCCTCCAGCTCTTAACAGCAACCGTATGATGGTAAATATATCCCATATTCAAGAAGCACACTACATTTTCATTAGCAGTGGAAGACACATGCCTTCCCATATAAAAGAGTGAGGACAGACAAATTGAGGGTTGTCATTTACATTGGCAAACACAAACATACAGGGAAAATGGTTCAATTTAGCAGCATCACTGTGAAACTGAGTTTTAACTTCTCTTACAATGGAAAAAAACCACAGTACATGGAAAATGTTATAATGACCTGATGAGAATAGTGGAACAAATTACCTTAGAACAGTTATTTCACGGTTAACATTTTCTTATTTCTTATTTTCATGTTGCTATCCAATTTGCTTCTTTGTTTCAACCAGTACTTCAGGCTATATCTTAAAATCCAGGCAGGCAAGCAGGCATGTTGATATTATGACACTTTCATTCAATACCTAACAAAATGGAACTCTTCCTGAATCAGCCTGCCTGGCAGGTTATTGCAGTCACTATGATAAGTAAATGAATCAAGACTATTATTCAAGTATCAGGATCTATGCATATTTGTCTTTTTACTACAAGGTAACTAACTCTGAGTTTGAATTAACAATACCTCTGGAAACCTATTGTACCTCTCACCTTAAAATGTGAAAAATACTTTTTCTTCTGTTCAAGCGAGCTCTCTGAGTAGCAAAATAAATGTGGTATGAGATTAGAAATATATGTTCAGATTCAGCTGGAGTTTCATGCTTATCCTCTATTAAAAACAGAGCTGTCAAATGAAAGCTGCAAGAAGAATATTATACAGAAGAAAGTGGCGTAGATTATTAAAGCTACAAGAAGAAAATGAGAGTCAGCATCAGTGAGAGAGAGCAGAGCAAGAGCACATAAATGCATTAGCAGGATGCATAGGATGGCAGTCCTATGTTATTTGTACTTCCTGGCAAAGGTTTGTTTTGCCATAAATAAAGTTGAAAGCTCTCTATAAATCCTGTGCGTCTCCTGCTACCCAGCAAGCAGTACATTTTGAAAAGCTAACGTGTGCTTTGCAAGAGCTGGGGCTGTTGATTTGGATCTTCAGGCTGGTTAAAAGCATTGGTGTCAGGTCCCGGCTTGCAGAGCTGGAGCCTGCCAGAGACACAGGGTCCTCATGCAGCTCTGAGATGTGCTCCAAGTCACAACTTGCCACCCACACAGCTCTGTCCCCAGCTCTAAGCTCAGCACTGACATCCAACACAAGGTCACCAACAGCACTTCAGCTCTACGTAAAGGGAAGGTCAAAGACAACTCCATGAGGAGTTCGCTGTTGTGAACTATGTAAGAAAGTTGGCTTGAAGGAAGAGATGGGGACATGGAAGGTTTTCCTTCAGGTTTTACACAACTTAGTTTCCAAACCGAAATGAAGATGCTTGTGCACAAGTTTCCCAGATGTCACAAGGGTCGCTCCTCCTGTGTGTTCATTGGAGCAGACAACCCTGAGCCTCACCACCAGCAGAGCCACCTCCCACAGCCACCACAGATCCTTACCAAACACGAACACGTCAGCTATGGCTTCCGAGCCAGAGATGGTGAGATCACAGTCATGTTCAAAACTCACCAAAAAAGTAAAGCATCCAGGTCTGAAGAAGTGTTTTGATCAGTAAAGCTAGAGTTTCTCCTGTTCTGTGATGCCGAGATGCATTCACATGCATATTAATGAGGTGGTTTGCAAAAATCTGTTTCTGTTAATGAAGGGAATCTAAATTGCATTTCATGCCTTAAAAAAGACAAACAAAAAAAACCTGTTACAGAGAGTATGGCTTCAACCAGAACTCTATCCCAAGGCACACAGGGGATTTGTTCTAATTATTTCATCAGTTTTAAATAAAAGTAACTGTGTGTAAACAACTGATCTTGAGGGAAATCCCCATAACTATCTGCAGTAAAACAGTCTGACCAGGCCTGTTACTAATTATTTTAGTTCTCATACATGTCTATTACAGAGACATTAACAGTTATGTAGGAGAAACAAGAGTCGTGTGTGAACCTAGTTTTTAACTATTCAGAGCATAAACTCAGAAAATTTAGTATCAATTGAAAACATCTAGCTGCCTAGGGATCTTAAAGGAGATTCTCAGTTAAATTGTTCTACCATCACTGAGAGACAGTCACGATGATTGAGGCTCTCAGGCCCCCATTATTAATCATGAATTCTGGGAGACAATGACAACAATTTAAATTTGTAAGTAGGATCAGTCATTTTGTCCTGAACCACACAGGAGGGCACACAGTGGAGACATTAGACCAATTTAAAAGTTTTCCCCAGTGCTACAGATTAACCCTGAGAAAGGACTTTTCATTGGTATTTTGGTCCTGCAACCATTTTCCTGTGTTTTTCAAGAGGGTCCTCAGGTTTGGCCTGGTGCTTATTCTCAATAGCATGAGACAGATGAGAGTGATAGTGCTGAAGCACTTGGAAAAAAATCTGCAGCTGCCAGTGCAGTGTTTCCACATGCTTTCTGTCTGACAGAGAGAAGACAACATAGTTTAGCTGAAATAACAACTTAGAGAGGCAATAATTCCTCCTGGATGGAGTTTTCCCATTCTGAA